ACCAATTGATTCGTCTCATTATTTTGTGCATAAAAGTATTAAGGTAAGATTTCCGAAAATTGAATGTTTTACAAGATATTTTGTATTTTATGTCAAAATGCTGTAACTTTCAAGCCTCATAACTCGAAAAGTACTTAATGAAAAATAACTTCATTATAGTGTTTTGAAAAGCTCTTGACACCAGCTATTAGATTTTGGAATCAAAAATAGGGGTTTCTATTTAAAAAATTCGATTTGACCTTGAAATGACCTTGAAGGTCACGGGCAAGGCCAAATCTAAGGTCACCATCGGATTGCCCAAGAAAAATCCTACAATTTTTGTCGAGGTCATTTTCCTCTGTGATGCGTATTTTTCAAATTATCCAGCCGTCCCGGAACTTTTGACACACGCTGTATATTATACATTTCTATCCCCCAAGATTAAAAACTACAGTTCCGATAATTATACAAATTATGATGCAAAACTCGCAAATCCAAACATTGTAGCTGCTTCTCGAAAAATTATGTCACGAAAATATTGATTGCATATTGCAACAATGTTTTTATTGAAATCGTTGATAAATAGTGTTCCAAACAATAATTATACTTGATAACGTATACTGAGGCGTCAATTATGATACGTTTGCAGAAATTGCAAGAGTCGGGGAAGGGAAAAAGATATATCTTCTCGAATATGTTACGGAGGAACAATTGATTGTGGTATTAAGCGGAAAACAACGTCATGTACGGCTGGTTCCAGTACGTGCGTTGGATGGAGACGAAGTCGAATGGATTAAAGTCGCGGAAACTAAAGGATGTATTACATTAACAACAGGAGTGATGCGTCGCAATCCGCTTAATTATTGCTTATGCGTTGCAATAAAGAAGCAAGTAAGGCGATGAATATTTGTAAAACTATTACAACGCGGTATATTCCTTGCGTACGCCGTATACTAATGCGCCATGCGTTCTTATTTTTGCAGAATGCTTCGCAAATCATCATCTATGAAATAACGCGTACGAAAACAAGGCATAAACGTATACGCGAGTTAATGTTACCGTGTCACGCACAAACCTTGCAAGTTCTTTCCGAAGGTCGCTTATGCGTTGGCTACCCATCTGGTTTTTCTATTTACAGCATTCTAGGGGATCATCATCCTGTCTGTAAGTAGAATACAGGATAAATATTCCTTTTATCGTAACATATCCACTTCGACTCTCATTATATCACACTCTCCCTCTTATATTTGTTTCAGCTTTGGTCCACGCTGAGAATACGCTCTTAGGTTTTCTCACCTACAGTGCCGTGGATGCCTTACGTTGCATCGAGCTGGCACGCGGTGAATTCTTGTTAGTCTTCCATACATTAGCGGTATATGTCGACAGTCAAGGAAGAAAGAGCCGAGATCGAGAGATAATGTATCCTGCAGTTCCTACAGCAGTTAGTAAGTGTACCGACGACTATTGACAGTTGTAATTATATTCTTACAATTAGTATCAGATTTTACTGTCAAAGCTATGACATGTCCTATGCTATGTACCGTATTGAGGATTTTTCTCATCCCTATTCATTATATCTGTGATTTTCAGGTTGTTGCGAAGGATATCTATTAGTGTATAGTGAGACTCATATCGATGTATTTGACTGTACATCTGGGGACTGGTTGCAAACGCTTAATGTGAAACGTGCCCGACCGTTAAATATCTCGGGCTCTCTTACGTCTTGTGTAATCAATGACATGCCATATGTCATTTATCTTAGCAATTTACATCAACGTAAGTATATATATATATATATATCTCACATAAACGTATAAATCACAAAGTATATTATTTATATATTGTTTGCAATTGGAATTGTTGTATCAATCGACCCACGGCTATCATTTAACAATGCGTTATACATTGCGATAGGGGAACTATTAAATTTGACTCCATTAGACGCGAGCGGTAGACAAATGACAAGGCCACGACGAAGATTCTCACTAAGAGAAGGCAATAGAGCCGTTCGTCCTACGGATAGACGTTCAAAAATGATTTCCGCGCCGACAAATTTCAATCATATCAGTCACATGGGTCCAGGCAATGGGATACAGGTGTGTATAAATTTAAAACTCGAAAGTTGAGAATTTAATATGATTAGTTAACACTTTTTTTTATCTTATAAGTATAAATAGATTGTGTGGTCAGGTTTTTGAAAATCATGGATTGCAATATTCTGACCGCGTACTAATCTATTACAGATACAGCGTTTATTAGATTTACCCACGACATTAGAAACTGCTGATCAACAACATACGAGTCATCACAGTAGTTCCCATCTTCACAGTAGCCAGCAAAGAGTAAGTAACGTGAATTATTTATTTAATAAACAAAATGAGTTTTTTTTTCTCTCTTTTTGCAGCTATATGATTCTACGCTTCAAACACCGAACAAACCAGCACCACTGCCTCCTAGGCATCCCCCTTCCGAAACACGTCGCCTAAGCTCTCATATGTCAAGAAATTCTGGATATTCGCCGCACAATGGTAAATTTCCACATAACGTAGAGTTATGATTTATGTTGTTAATTTTAACTAGTGCTCGACAATTTCAAGTAGTTGAGCAATTTCGGACAGTTTTAATCTTAAAATTGGACATTGAAACAGTTTGAACCTTTCAAACTGAGGCCTATGTTTGAATAGTTTGAACTAGGTTCAGGTTCAAAAATTGAAAAATTATTTGACTTTTGATCATAAATATGAGCCAAACGTAGTTGAAAGTTTAATTTAAATATATATGTATTATTTAAAATAAAGCATCTAGAAATAGAGATTGGGATTTTTTTCGACATTTTCATGAAAAAAAAGATCAAAAAGTAGATCAGATAAATATTTGTAAAATGATATGTTAATTGATGAAAATGCATATATATTTTTCAGAATGTTTGAAGTAATTTGTCAACTATATTTAATATACATTTATTAGGCATTAAAACATACTTTATTGATTGAAATATACATACACAGGTTCGACTGCATCACGAAGAGGCCCTGCACCACCACGACCTACTGCCACACCACCTTCTTTACCGCGCACTCCAGTCGATCAAATTGATTCCGAATCAATACATTTGCGTTCACATACTCCACTCTCTCTTGGCAGTATTGCATCTTTACATAACAAGGTATGTAAATTACTTGTTACTTTTACACAAGTATTTTGACGATTACTGTCGCAAGGCAATTCTATCTATTGAATTTATCGAGTCTATACGCTCTCATCACTGTTCTTGAAGTGAATTGCAATTGTTTGCAAATATATATATATGTATGCGTGTGTGTATGTGTATGTATTTTTTTATTATGTGCAGGAACATCCATCTGGTGGTAGCCCTAGACACTCGATAGCTTCGAACAATAGTTCAAACCCATCGACACCACCGAGCCCCGCTCACGATCATGGATCATCATCGTATGATTCGTAAACTTGTTTATCGAAGACCTAAATATACGGTATGTACCTAGCGCATACTTGCAAAACGATCAACTAGACACACACATCATATCTGTGCGTGCATAAGAATCCCTATAATATATGTATATATGTTAAGCTCATATTTTTATACATTTTTACTACATATTTTTTCATTCTTTGTCTGTTCTTCCAATACACAATTTTTATGTCGCAACGCATCACGTTGACTAATAAGTATTTTATTTTAAAAACTAGATTATTCGGGATTTAATATTAAATTTGAGCCTAACATATATAATGATATATTCATAATGTACTTGCGGAAACACACAATACACTCATACTTTGAATTGGAAGGTTATCTCGCGGTATTGTCTTACCGTCGTGCAATATAACTACGCATACTTAATGTTATACGGTATATGAGTCAAACAAGTATCATAATTATGTGCTTTAACGAGTTATATACATTGGTGCGCCATGCGATTGTTCATATATAAATAAATATACATGTACATGTGTGTGTGTGTGTGTGTGCGTGCGCGCGCGCGCGCGCGTGTGTGTTGGTATGTATATGTATATGTGTATATATATGTATATGTATATATATATATATATATATATATATATATAATAATAA